AGAGGTCGTATCCAATAATCTGAGTAATCCAGTATGTATCTTTTATATTCTGGATTTATAAATTTTAAAATTACACATTTGTAACATAGATTAACAGCACTGTATAAATTTAGCTGAAAATAAAATTTATGATTTTTATTTTGGCCAGCACAGGTGTCACTTTTGGCTTCCAACCAAATCGTCTGAGATTTTCCCTGGTGCGGAACATCATGTATGTTTTAATAATACTTTGTACTGTAGCCACTGGAACTTGAAAACATTTAGATATGGCCTTGTAGCCCTTTCCTGACTTGTGAGCAGCCACAATGCACAGCTGCAGGTCCTCAGTGAGAGCTGAGAAAGGTTTTTTTCCACAATAATACATCTTGTACATTGTCTTATTTTCTTTCGGCAGACACCTATGTCATTTCCAGTCAAAACAAAACTTGCTGGTTGAATAAAAGTAACTTTAACTAAAAATTTGCCATGGGTATGAGTAATTATGGGCTTGACTGTTGTGTGTTTAATCATCATGTTTGAAGTACAGAGTTTCATCAGTTCTGGTCAAGAGAAATAGGAGAAATAGCGCCCCCAATAGGTGTCCATTACTTGTGGGAAGTGCTTTGCATCCGGTGTGTCTCACACGTCGGAAAGAAGACTCAATGCAAAAATCCGACCCAATAGGCTTATTATGCTGTCCTCACTAAAGTTTGTTGCAGGCAACGTAATTTCAGCTATACAGCTAAATCTTTATTCCCAGCACTTCATCCTCCAAGAAACAGGCCGCTCTTTGTGTTTGGCAGGATTTAATGATGAAATTAAATTCTCTCTCTCTCTTTTTTGTAAAACTGTACAAAGAAAAGTAATACAAAATACACAATGAAGACATGTTCCATTACACTGGGAGAATAACATTGCCCTAGTGAAAAACACACGACCACAGATAAAACATCTGCTGACAAAATACAAGCATCTATCTGCCTCCATATGATTTAACTCAAAACAGTGTCAAAACTTACTAATACACATTAAATGTATAGGAACTTACGGATGAAGCCGATATTGTGGACTTTAACATCAGGACTGCAGAGATTGCCATCAGATTACAAATGCTGTCACTGCAGCAGCTAAAGAGCACACAACTTCCTGTATACCACTTCCTCTACAAAAAAGACATTCTGCTTAGATACCACTAG